GTTGTTCACATTTCCAACATAAATTTGAAGTGCCTTTATACATTCTAGATAATTTCTCTGGGGCCATATACCAACAGTACATCATTTTATAAAAATGTTCTTTAATATTATAACATAGTATAAATTTCAATCCTTTCAGCCACATATTTCCCTTTGTTCCATCTGTATATTATAACCAAAATTTTTAGCCTACTTTATCATACATTCTTTCACTTCTTCTTCTTCTGCTTCAAAGTGCAATAAAAGTTTATACATTTTAACATTTACGTTCATCATACACAATTCTACTTCAACTCACCTCTGCTTTTACTAAAACCAAGACTACTAACACATACAAAGTGTATATATCTCAAAAGTTAAATCTGCTATAGAATTGAAATGTTTGAATATCAAGTAACCCTGATTCAAACCATAGGCAATTCAGATACAATATACTGTATGTATATCAGAATTCCATTATGATAAATCTGTTGAGAGCCCTTACCCATTCAGTTTCACCATCATCACCATCATCATCTCCACAATCTCCCAAACAGGAGCTGGCAAGTCCATCTTGAGAACCTTTCTTGAGGACACGGATTCCTTGCAAATCCATCCGATGGCCTTTTACTTCCAGTGCCCCTTCAAAAGCTTCAAGGGGCCAAGAGTTTTCAAACTCATCCACTAATGCTAGCATCTCATCAGACATCTGAACATCTCCTAAACTTTCTATTTCTTCTGAGTCATTGTTTTCTGCAATAACAGTACCTATAAAGGGAGAATCAACAAAATGTATCACTTTGTTCAAAAGTTATTTTATGTTCAAGTGGTGTGCAAAAGAAGTGTGACAATTCTGCCATTCCCAATCCAAGTGATCAGTACAAAAGGATGTCATACTCTTAATCAAAGCATCAATCCTTATTTTTTTAAAATAAGGTAATCTGCATTGTGAAGGTTTTTTTATCCTGAAAAACTCATTTTTGGTCTATTAAATAAATATTATTTCAGTAAAAAAGACAAAACACAAAATATTTACTTCGTAGTTATGAACATATGTGTACTAAAGCTTTGCAGTGGACTTTGAAGAAGCAAGATAGAAAGGATATTGATGCTTTTAAATTTTGGCATTGGAGAAGATTAAGAATGTTATAGGCAGTCAAGAAAACAAACAAATGAACCCAGAGTTCTCACTCAAGGCACCACTGACTAGGCTCAAATTATCATACTTTGGACACATTATGAGATGATCTAGCTCTCTGGAGAAAGCTCCAGTGCTGGGAAAGAAGGAAGGAAAAGAAGAGGATGACCAGCAGCAAGGTAGATGAAATCAGTTACAGTATGATGGGTGCACTGTTGAAAGAACTGAAGGACGACGTTAAGGACAGATCATCATGGAGTGAATCCATCTATATGATCACTAAGAGTTGACACTGACTTAATGTCAATCAATCAATCAATCAATCAATCAATCAATCAATCAATCAAAGCTTTGCAGAACATTATCTTGTCAAGCTATTTGTCCCTGCTTTTGTCTAGAACCAGTTACACTCTCATACAGAATATGCCACCTTAAACATATATTCTATTCAGTTCAGAATCCTTACTACATTGTTTATTTTAAAAACACAAAGTCATAATTTGAATAAATAGTGTGTGTGGCCATGCCTAGAAAACATGCGACATAAGAAAGATCTAAAATTCACTTGGGTGAAAATAATTTATTTTCCTGGACTGTTAAGAATAATTTCTTTCCTATTCTCAAAACTTGTTCTGAAACATTTTGCACAACATTGTTTTCTTGAGTATGTTTTTATATTCAACATATTTTTGATATATTGTCACCAACTTATTGGATGCTAACTTGGGATACAAGTGTGTGTGTGTGTGTGTGTGCATGGGTGTATGAAAAAGAGATACAGACTTTTATCAACATACCAGGTCAGAATGTAGAGTTTATTAATAATGTATTCAATTGCTTTTCAAGCTCTTAGTCTCTTGTGCAGGGGTTTCCATTTTATTTCCTAAAATATGTCTACACTGAAATCACCCAAAAGGCAAAATATATCTAAAACAGCTGCATGCTTCTCTTTTAAAATGTAATGAAATATATTTCCATTATTTGAAGAGAACAGCAATTCCAGAAACTAGAACATTTCACTAAGACATGTAAGTGAAGGGGATTACACACCAGAATTGTTCACAGTAGATTTCCTGCTGGCGTAAAGAGGAAAGGATTTGTATGGACCTGCCATCCTCACTGAGGCCAAAGAGAACATTAAGGACACTGTGAATGGCTCAATGTGAGCTGGCAGTTGCAGAAAGTGCATCTTGCTCATTTGTCTTAGTTGGCTAATGGGGAAGGGAATGGTGTAGGCAGTTCTGTGCTTCTGCAGTCAAGAAATGATTGTGCTAAATTTAATGTGCCCTGTTCACCTATCAGTTCCCCTGCTGTCCTTGCTTTTCATCTAAAATTAATTCAGAAATATCTCTGTATGATTTCATAACAAAACTAAATGTTATTCAGTTGCCTACATAATTCTTTGGCTTTAGCTAAAACCAGCAAAAATAGAATATATTCCACATGAGTAAGGCATTTTACTGCCTGTACAGTGATGAGCATGGCTGTACAGTGCTTTAGAGTCAATCTCCAAATGGTGCTCCAAAGCATGGGAAGATATGCAGCTGTTTGATCTTACATCAGTGCTCCCATGCACTGTACACTCTACTAATTAAAAGTTGCAAAACTCAGATCGCCCTGTATACTGTAGAATCTTTTTTTTTTAAGTTCAGAAGAATATGTGAATTACTGCTCTACCTTCAAAGAATCCACTTGAACGTTTCAGTTTTAGATGAGCCATCAGCTTAACAGTTTGCTGGATACCTGAGACATGCAAATGTTTTAATGATAAAAATGTAAATACTTTAGTACAATTAGAAAAATGTTTGTATTATTCCTATTCGTTCTAGTACACAATCTAATTTTGACCAAAACTATGTATAGGTATTCTGTGGTTATTCAGACAAAATGATCAGTAGCCCATAATTGTTCAGTGTTAGCTGCTGTCAGTGGTCCATGCCATTGTGCATTTAAACTTAAATGAATCATTCAGGGCCTGGATCACCTATCAATCAAGTTGTTTTGCACCTGAAGGAGAAAACCTAGCAGGACTTCTTACTAGGACTAAAAGCACAGATATTAAATATATTTGCTGCATTTTTAAGTCACTAAAAATCCACTGCCTGAGATAGCTGCCTTTGCCTAATAG